GGGAAAAAAAAAATCAAATGTGTTGTGTGCTACCATATCAAGAAAAGTGTGTCTGATAACTCTCAGGGAGCCCTGTTATACAGGCCTTAACCACATTAAGTAGATGCCTCACCACAGACTGGCGATACCTGTTTTTGGAATCAAAACTAAGATGTAGTAAACAGGCTGCTGGTTTCTGGCCTAATGAATGCAAGGCCCATAGGATCTTTGATCAAAGAACAGACATTTTGCCAATAAGGATGAAGTTGGGGACAAATCCAGAAGATATGAAAACATGTTTCCCTATCTTGTCCACATATCCAATATGTGGGGGTCAACACTTGGGAACATATGCTGTAATTTTTCCAGCAACCTATACCATCTGGTCAACACCTTGTAAACTGATTCCTGCATTCTCAAGAACATTGTTGATTTCTGAATGAAAAAAAAACAAGTCTCTTTGATCAGTGGACAATGCTTTATTCATGTCCTTTCCCTATGCCGCAATAAAAGATGGAGTGATAGAATCTGTGAATGCAACTAATGCAGCATATGCCCTGGAAAGACCCCTTCATACTCTTTGTCCTGATGCACACAATTGCTCAAAAGCTGTAGCTACAGTATATCAGAAAACTCCAAATAAGGAGGTAGCAAAGAAAGAGAATGCTTTACTTTAATTAATTGCCATAATGGAAGGAGGGGTGAAGCATAGATTGAATATCGGCTATAGATTTCCAGCCGTTCGAGTACTTTAAGTCTTGCAGCTGGAATGTATCCATTGCAATGAATCACAAAAATTTAGGATCAGACAGTTCTGGTGGGAAATCTGGGTTTCCCATCATTGGCATCATAAGTGATAGCCTTAAAATCCTAGGTCTAGTCATCTGAATAATTTTATAGGTAGCACCCAAAATGGGATGGTCCTTCACTTGGGCTAAGCACACATTGCCGAGCCACAGAAAGGCCTTAAGCGGAAAATGCAAGGTCGTTTGTTAAAGAGATTTACAATTCTTCTCCTTAGTATGATTACACCAGTCCAAAATCTGGGACAGATGTGAAGCTTCATAACATCGAACTGGATCTGGAAACTCCGTAACCCCCAGAACATTTGGGCATAGTTAGTATTTCTGTATTGATTGTAGGCAGGCAGTCTGACCAAAATAATTTGATAAATTCTCGTTTAATTTGTCTTAAAAAAGTATTTGGGACTGTCAGTGGGAGAGTCTGAAATACAACAATTTAGGCAGTATATTCATTTTCAAAAAATCATTTTTGCCAAAGCAAGTGTGTGTGAGATGTCCCAAAGTCTAAGATCTCGTCTAATACTACACAGCAGTTGTGGAAAATGATGCTGAAATATATTATTAATAGAACGTGTAAGATAGATCCCCAAATATGAGTTTCTCAGACTTGACTTCAAAGTGTGTATTCTGCCTTCAGGGATTGTAAGATTCATTGCTTCTGATTTTAGAAGAATAATTTTATAATCGCACCTACACATTTATCAAATTAGGGCCTGCGGTTGTGTTCATACAGCCGTTGCATCCTTTGAGCAACAGGCGACGCTAGCAAACTGCTCATTTGCTATGTATGGGCCAGAAATATTTTTTTTTAATATTTTAGTACAAACAGATTCTTCAATTCCTTCCTCTGTAACCTTAGCACCACTGAAGATGAATGAACAGGCTCCTGTCCATTCATAAATTGAAGCATAATAACACAGTTTACTATGCTCAGTTATCATTGTACACAGGCGCGATCAGTACTTATCACACACTATGTCCATTCACTAAAGGAAGGGGCTAGTATATAACATATTTACTGCCCTCTTGCACGGCTCTCCCTCCTCACACGTCCCCCTATGTACCTGCAGCAGGAGGTGGGACAGAGAACCTGGCAGAGCACCGGGTAAGGAGGGGAAGACTCTCTCCCTGTGAAACTGGAGCAATAAAACTACTTGGAAAAGACCAAATTGGCTGGTGCCATCCATTGACCTGCAACACTGTCCACTGCAGCCATGGATCAGCCCTAGGGAAAATGCTTGCCTTCTGTTGGAGGTGAGTCTACTCCTTTATCCCATGCTACACCAATGACAATATGACACCTCCCAAGTAACATGTTGTAGTGCCCATGTGACCTCCAATATGTGTCAGACCTTAAGAAAATTATCAGTCAGACTGGGTGATTATATAAATAATGTTAGGATAGATTTTAATTGAAATAGCATTTTCAGACATTGTTCCTCTTTTGCAGAAAAGTTAAAGCATTCTATTTCTTCCAGATCAACCATTCCTTACTTCAGTTTCAGTGTCCTGGGTGCCAGTGGGGTCCTGGGGTCCAGTGTCCCTCAAAGTGTTGAAAACTCCTCCATTAGCCATCCTGAATTTGGTATTCAGGGCTCGGGAACCAGAAGAAGGAAGTAGTTCATTAGCTGACTTCATTACCACACCCTGCACCTGCTCTCCTCCTCCAGGAGATTGCCCCCACCCATCTCTATAGGTGCATGCATTTCCAATTCAATCAGCTATCATCATTCTCACTAAATATGCATGTGAGAAGGTTGAAGGCTAGTTAGCTACTGCCAGGCTGGGAGGGAAGAGGTTAACTGTTAACCCTCCCCCCTCCTCTCCATCCCATATAAATACATGAAGGGTCCTTTCATATGGGCATTCCGTATGTCTGTTTTTCATCTGTCCATTTATGGATGAAAAACTGACCGCTATGTATTTCTATGGACTTGCAGATGAACATCTTTTTACATCTGTTAATGTCCACATCTGTTAACATCTGTTCTTTTGAATGGAAGAAAACCCTATTTTTCTTCTGCAAAAAAAAAAAAAACCTGGAATGCATGAAAAAACGGATGTCAACGGATTGTAGGCAGCCCAGCAGGTCAGAAAAGGGGGAGGGGGGCGAGCGAGCTCCCCCCCCTGAACATACCAGGCCACATGTCCTCAACATGGGGGGGGTTCTTTGGGGCGGGGGGCCTCTTCCCCACAACCCTGGGCTGTGGTTATGAGAGTCTGCAGGGCAGGGGGCTTATTGGAATCTGGAAGCCCCCTTTAGGAAGGGGGCCCCCAGATCCCAGCCCCCCCATGTGAATGAGTATGGGGTACATGGTACTCATTCACAAAAAAGTGCAGTGTGAAAAAAAGACAGGAGACCGTATTTGACAAGTCCTTTATTAAAAGGAAAATAAAAGAATGTCCCCCAAAGCAGATCCAACATCAATCACGATGCCCACTGCCGCCGACCCAAAAAAAAAGGGGGGGGGAACAAAAAACAAAGGCTCTGCTCCCAATGCTGGCTCCTGGCCGTCTGACTGCTCTGCTGGCTTGACAGTTCTTAAATATGTAAGGGGTGGGGCCAAATGGTCACATGTGTGACCCCGCCCCCATGTGACATCATCAACCAGGGCATGCTGGGTCAGTAATTGCCCAGCAATTACAAAATGATGAAAAACACTGTGCCCCCCCATCCGTCATCCATACCAGGCCCCTTTACTCTGGTATGGATTTTTAAGGAAAACCCCACACCAAAATTAAAACAAATGGACCTTAGGTCTGGTATGGATTTGGGGGGAACCCCACACCAGCTTTTGGGTCATTAGCACATTGGGGTATGAAGAGTCAGCACCTAAAGAGTCAAGAGTGCAGTACCAAATGTTGTTGCCATGGGCAATGGAAGTCTAGAGTCAGTTAAAGCAACCTGTTGGTGCATGTACATATGTCAGGTGAGATAGCCTCTAGCAGCGAGGGAGATGTTTGTACTCCTTCCGCATGCTGTCTATTTCCCAAAGCAAGGGTAACGAAGGTACCTCTGTGCAGCTATCACCCACATGTGCCCATTCCCGACTGACATCACTTTCAAAGTGAAACTTGACTTCCTGTCTTATGAGGCAACTCTCACTGTGTTCCCCTGCTATATTGAATTGGGCTCTATAAAGACACTGTGCCTTTTTATGAGTACACTTTCAAAAGCGTTGCCTCTCTATTTTCCTTGGGACCACACCATTACCATTAAGGAATTTACAAATCTTGGTATCTTTGTGAGCATGAGGTTGACACCTGAGCTTTAGGTGTCGGATAACATTAAAGCTATAAAGCACATTCAACAACAGTTTTCCCTTTGCCTTTGAAGGGATCACACTTTTAACACAAAAAGTGTGGGCTCTTATTAGGGTTACATTAGTTCCTTTCTGCATTCTATGTATGGGCATCCTCTTGCTGTCCAAACTTAGTTTTGCTTGTTTCCCCCCATACACTGCATGCTTCATTTTGTCAGTTTCATCACTGACATTCTCAGATGACTGCAGCAATGTCCTACTCTCTTTCTGAAGGACAGACCGATTGTCTTGCAATTCAGATGTTTTTAAGTCAGGGGACCTCTTTAAAGATTCCAATTCCTTCACGTTTTGCCTCTAGGCAGATAAACCATTTAAAATTTACCTTCCCAGACTACCCTCCTGAACCTGTAGGGGGCCTAATTTTACTGCAGCTTTTATCTCAGCTGTGTCTGCCATATCATTACCCACCTCATCACATGTTTCAGGGTTAGCAGCAACCATGTCCATTTGACCTTCAGGTCTATCATTAATCTTATTGTCACTCACGGTATCTAAATGATCAACATTTACCAGTGCCTTGCACTTTTCCTCATCATCATAAATATCAACGTTTACCAGTGCCTTGCACTTTTCCTCATCATCATAAATATCAACGTTTACCAGTGCCTTGCACTTTTCCTCATCATCAGCACAATACGAGTCATATCAGTGGTATTCTGTAGTCATGCTGTTTATAGAGATATCACTGTCCCTACAGATGGATGGCAATATTGGGGTGTCTACTCCATTATAACATTTTTCTTATAAAATTCTATTTCCTGGAGTTTTAGAAAGTGATCCAATATAAATTATTCCAATAAAGAGAAATTAGTTCCATTCATATAGAGAATAGTTATATTCATTCCTGGGGGAGAAATTCATTTTGTTCTGGTAACATGTTTCTCTTCTTTTACAGATTGGGTGATAATCAGCTGACAGACAGTTCCTGCCCCCACCTGGCATCTCTAATAAGAAATAACCAGACATTAAGGACACTGAACCTGTCCTGGAACAATCTGGAGGGTCCTCATTTCAGTGATCTGATGGCAGCTCTGACAACAAGCCGGATAGAGGAATTAGAGTGAGTGAGTATAACAGGGCTGGGTGAGACAATATTATTCTGGGACAGTTTTTTTTTTTTTTTTAAATCTAATCCAGATAAATATAGAAATATGATAGTATAATCATATGGAGCTCTTTTATGCCTCTATATACAGTACAGTCATTATGGACTGTCACCTAATAATTGGAACTTATCTTACTCTGGTATAAGTCATGCAATATTTTCATAAACCATTGCTAAAACTGTATATTCTGTTTTGTCTGGTGATTAATAAGATTACTTCACAGCCACTATTTAGTGTCAGGGGATCTCCTCATTGCTACACATCTGCTACTCAGTTTCAGGGGATCTCACATGACTAAGTATCCACAATTTCATCAGAATAAAAACATAACCATAACTCAGATCTTCATGCTCCATAGGGAAACACGGTGTCTGTTACTTGCTGAGGTGGGGAATCTTGATACTAACAAAAGAAAACACAAAAGGGGCACACTCTCCTCATGCATTACAATGGTAAAAAATATATTTATTGAAAAAGTAACATACTCAGAAAAAGGATCATAAAAACAGACAAGGAGCTAAATGTTTCAGTCCCAGACAACAGGGGTCCTGTAGTGTAACTACCCTGTTGGAATTGCTACCACATTTCGGGAGTCGAACTCCCTCAAAGCTAAGGCACCTAGACATGCCAATGCCGCATAAATAGGGGAACAAAGTATTCGGCCCTACGGCTGAAAACTATTAGGCCCTACGGCTGAAAAGTGTGTGAATGTCACTCCATGATGTTGAGTGTGAAATATAATCTCCAATACCTTGTACATCAATGAATATAAGCTGTATAACAAAAATATGTGTGCATAATAGTGGAGGAATTACTGATGTAACAAACGATCCCGCCGAGTGGGATGGCAGGAGAAGAAATTGTTAACCGGTTTCATGGCATCCTGCATGTGTCCTGGAATGCATGGAGCACAAGCCGTGTATCCACCGGCCATCGCTCCGGATATCCAGACGTGAGACTCTGTTACTGTCGTGCAAAAGTGGCCCGACTCCTGGGAGATAAGGACACATATGAGCATCTCCCTGGGGATCCCATTTCATCATACAGACTTGCCCTTAAGAACCTGTTTGATCCAGCTGTCCAGAATAAGGTTTCAAAGCAAGAGTGGTCTTTTTTTATTTAGGCCATTTCCCATGACACCACATTTCTATCACATCCCAAAAATTCACAAAAGTGCAACAAACCCTCCAGGTAGACCCATCATCTCATTGACAGTCTTACCAGAAATCTTGATAACCACATTGACTACTTTCTACAAGATTTGGTCGTACAGCTGCCTTCTTATGTGAGGGACTCTGGCCACATGATCGAAATCTTGTCCAGTTACCAGTGGCAAGAAAGCTACAGGTGGGTGTCCTTGGATGTGTCATCAATGTATACAAGTATTCAACATGAGTATGGCCTGCAGGCAGTATAATACTTTTTATCCAAGGACAACTCTCTGCGCGCTTCTCAAATCTCATTTTTATTGAAGTGTTTTGAGTTTACTTTGACTCACACCTACTTCAACTTCACAGGGCAATTCTACAGGCAGATCAAGGGCACAGGTTTGCCCCAAGCTATGCCAACCTGTTTATGGGTTTTTGGGAACACATCTGGAACCACACCTCATTGGGGCAAGACACGTTACATCGATTCTATACTCAACATTTGGGATAGCTCTGTGGCTACATTAAACGAGTTCAGCCAACACTGTAAATCAAATTCGTATGGCATTGAGTTCACACATGTAGTGGATGATAGTAGTCTGGCCTTTCTAGATCTAGAGCTAAGGCATACTATCCAAAACCATTATCCCAGATGGATCAAAAATATTCCTCTGGGACAATTCTGCAGGCTAAGGAGGACTTGCATCTTAGTTGAAGATTATGATACCCAAAGTCACATTTTGAGAAAAAAGGTTTTGGAGAAAGGGTATGCAGCCACCAATATTGATGAGGTGTACAATAAATATAGAAAGGAGTATTTCAGCAAGGCAAGCACTAAGGCGGATTCTATCGTTGAATCCAAGCCTAGGACATGTAAGAAATCCACCAATCAACATAGCTTAGCGTTCTGTACCAGGTTCAGTCAGAAAGCCTTTGATATTAAGAGAACCCTCAACAAATATTGGGGTATCCAAGTTCAGGATCCCCTCCTTTCTGCGCACATTCCTCCACAGCCAGAAGTGATTTTTCATCCTCCTCGAGATTTGAGAAGCATAATAGCCTCAAGCAGATTTAAACTTTCCACCAAACCTCCTATACCAGGATGGAGTACTCTGACCAGAAAGGTAGTTATACATGTGGGGTGCCCAACTGTAGGGCATGTGAATATATGTGGCACAGGAAGAAGTAATTTCTTGGAGTCGATGGGAAGGCACATTACATCAAACAGTTCATGAACTGTGGGACACAGTTTGTCATTTACTGTTTAGTTTGCCCTTGTGGGCTTTTGCACGTGGGCTGCACTTCACAATCTCTCTGAATCAGATTTGGAGAACAAAAGCAGAATATACTTAATGGATTTTACAAACATACGGTGTCTTGTCATTTTAGCGATGTACATGATGAGAGTCCCAAGGGACTCAAAGTATTTGGCATAGAAGCCATACAGGGGGAAATTGACACGGGTAGAAAGCTCTGCAAGCTTTGCAAAACGGAATCCTTTTGGATACATCAGTTGGGTTCCCAAGGGTCTTAATAACCCATTAGACATCCAGTCTTTAGTATGGTTGATAGATCTTCCAGGGGTGGCATCATTGACAGTCACCACCGTTGCCTCTCTGCAGCTTTTCACTAGGCATGTCGTGTAGCACCTCGGCATATTGATATACCTCCCAGGTGCCAGGTTCTCACCATGTGCATGTGAATATACTGTATATGACACTATTAGATCCCATGTAGAGATTCTTTTTACAAGGGCCCTACATCCCCCCGATGAAACTTTCTCCATGGGCCGGCTGAGCAGTTGTTCGTCCTTTCATGTATACATCCGTTTAGTGCTTATTTACATGTGATTTTCATTACATCCTTTTTGAATATATATATACACATTATTTTGCATTTTTTTTTGCATTCCCTATATGGTTTTTAGATACATGATTTTATAAGTTTATTTTTATATCATTTTATATTTTGCATACCTTGTTTATATTTTGTGTTTTTGAACAGCATATATACTTTTAGATCTATTCAGTATTTTATTCATGATATTATATATATTCTCTTTGGGTTAGCCCATGCCGTACATGTTTGGACAACCTCTCTTCAACCCCTCCATTATCACTAACACACATCCTGTTTATGTTTTCGGGTTTTTCAGCTTCTGGCCCTTTACTACACAGCCACCCCCCTTTTTGGAGTTGTAAATTATGCCACTCAATGGTGCACTTCTGCCCTTGATGTGACGTAGTTCAGGTGTGCTCCCATCTTGATGTGCGGGACATGGCGTGTGCTCTTCTAATTGTATGGAGGGGCGCGCATGCGCAGTAACAGAGTTGCACGTATGATGGATTGAACAGTGCTACATGAGATATTCAAAGTTTAAGAAAAAATTTTATAACCTAACCCTGCGTTACACTTATCAACAATTTTATCCCTGACCTATCTATTGTGCTCCTTGGCCTTAATGATGCTGTTTGTTCACTAATATTCTATACTAACCTCTGAGGGCTGCACAGAACAGCTGTATTTATGCTGAGATTAAATTACGCACAGGTGGACTCTATTTACTAATTTGGTGATTTCTGAAGGCAATTGTATCTAGTTCAACCCTAAAAAAACTTAAATAATAAAAGTAATAATAAATAATAAAAATTGATCCACAGGAAGGCAAGAAACCCAGCAAAGCAATGATCAAATTTGCTTATGCAGGAGAAAAAATTCCTTCCTGACCCTCCGAGAGGCAATCAGATATTCCCTGGATGAACTTTACCTATAAATGTTAGTATCCAGTTATATTCTGTGTATCTAAGAAAGAATCCAGGACTATTTTTAAAGCAATCTACTGAGCTGGCCAGGGAGTCTATTCCACATTTTCACAGATCTTACTGTGAAGAAACCTTTCCATGTTGGAGATGAAATTTATTTTCCTCCAGACGTAAAGAGTGCCCCCTTGTCCTCTGTGATGACCTCAGGATGAATAACTCTACACCAAGTTCACTATATGAACCACTGATGTATTATACATGTTGATCATATCCCCCCTTAATCTCCTCTTCTCAAGAGAGAATAAATTCAGTTCCTCTAATCTTTCCTCATAGCTGAGCTCCTCCATGCCTCTTATCAGTTTGGTTGCCCTTATCTGTACTTTCTCCAGTTCCCCAATGTTCTTTTTGTGAATTGGTGCCCAAAATTGAACTGCATATTCCAGATGAGGTCTTACTAATGATTTGTACAGGGGTAAAATGATATCTCTCTCTCTCTCCGGAGTCTATACAGGTGAAACTCGAAAAATTTGAATATCGTGCAAAAGTTGATTTCACTAATGCAACTTCAAATGTGAAACTAATATACTGTATGAGATTAGAGTGGGACACTTTGAGCCTAGAATATTGCACCTTTTCACAATATTCTAATTTTCTGAGATTGTGGATTTGGGGTTTTCATGAGCTGTAAGCCATAATCATCACAATTATGACAAATCACGGCTTGAACTATCTTGCTTTGCATGTAATGAGTCTATCTCATATATTAGTTTCACCTTTTAAGTTGCATTACTGAAATAAATCAACTTTTGCACGATATTCCTATTTTTCGAGTTTCACCTGTACCTCTTTTAATACAAGAGATGATTTTGCTTTTTTTGGCATTGCATGTCATTATTAAGCTTGTGATCTACCAGAACTCCCAGATCCTTCTCCACCATTGATTCCCCCAGTTGTACTCCCCTTAGTATGTGTGTGATGCATGCATATTCTTAGCCCTCAAGTGCATAACCTTACATTTACCAACATTAAACCTCATTTGCCATATAGTTGCCCAATTAAACAGTGCATTGAGGTCAGCTTGTAAGTTGGAGACAACATGTAATGACGTTGTTCCACTGCACAGACTGGTATCATCTGCAAAGACTGAAATGGTATTTTTAGTCCCAGACCCTATATTGTTTATAAATATATTAAACAGTAAGGGTCCCAACACTGAACCTTGGGGTACACCACTGACAATCCTAGCCCATTCAGAGTATGAATCATTAACCACTACTCTCTGAATACGATCTTTTAGCCAGTTTTCTATCCATTTACATATGGATTTTTCCAAGCCTGTAGACTTTACCTTACACATTAGCCGTGTGTGGGGGGGAACTGTGTCAAACACTTTTGCAAATTCAAAGTATACCGCGTCCACCGCCACCCCTCTGTCCAAGGTTTCGTTATGCTGACGCCTTAATGGTTTCCTTCACTGGAACTAAGGGACCAAGCCCAACCCCTGTGAAACAACCCCACACCATAATTCCCCCTCCACCAAACTTTACACTTGGCACAATGCAGTGAGGCAAGTACAATTCTCCTGGCAACCACAGCACCCAGACACATCCATCAGAATGCCAGACAGAGAAGCAAGATTCATCACTACAGAGAACATGTCTCCACTGCTCTGGAGTCCATTGGCAGCATGTCTTACACCACTGAATCCGATGCTTTGCATTGCACTTGGTGATATAAGGCTTAGATGCAGCTGCTCAGCAATGGAAATGCATTCCATGAAACTCTCTATGCTCTGTTGTGCTAATCTGAAGACCACACAAAGTTTGGAAGTCTTTAGCTATTGACTCTGCAGACAGTTGGCGACTTCTGCGCACTGTGCACTTCAGCACGTGCTGGCCCTGCTCTGTCATTTTACGTGGCCTTCCACTTCATGGCTCAGTTGCTGTTGTTCCCAGTTGCTTCCACTTTGACCACTAACAGTTGACCGCAGAATATTTAGTAGCAAGGAAATTTCAGGGATGGACTTATTGCACAGGTGGCAATGTATCACTGTACCAAACTTGAGTTCACTGACCTCCTGAGAGCGACCCATTCTTTCACAAATATTTGTAGAAGCAGTCTGCATACTTAGGTGCTTGACTAATCACTAGCAATGCTGATCCTGGCCTCATACTGTCTACTGACATGGTTCATGCTCCATACACAAGGAGATTATAGCACAACACGTGTCATTTCAGTGGTATTTTGTGGTCATCCGGTATATGGAGATATCACCGTCTCTACACATGGAGGACAATATTGGGGTGTCTACATTACATTACATAACATTGTATTATAAAATTATATTTCCTGGAGTCTTATAAAGTGATCTAATATAAATTATTCCAATAAAGAGAAATGAGCTCCATTCATGCTAAGAATAGTTACATTCATTCATTCATTCTGGGGTTATATTAATTTTGTTTTGTTAACATGCTTCATTTTCTTCTGGTAACATTCTTCTCTTCTTCTACAGTCTACATATTACTCACCTGACAGACAGTTCCTGCCCCCACCTGGCATCTGGAATAAGAAATAACCAGACACTGAGGACACTGAACCTGTCTGGGAACAATCTGGAGGGTCCTCATTTCGGTGATCTGATGGCAGCTCTGACAACAAGTCGGATAGAGGAATTAAAGTGAGTATAACAGGACTGACTGAGACAATAAAAATCTGGGACAGTTTTATATCTAAATCACATAAATTTAAAGACTATTAGTGTGCCTTAAAAGGTAATTGATGGATAACAAAAGGGGGCACCATCATCCCATAATGACTAT